AAAATTTTCATTGCTATATTCATAATATAGATCAGGATATTGCTCCAATGTTTTGTTGCGAAAATAAACAAGGTCATAAGTTTGTATACTTACCTTGGCTTTCAGCAAATCATCTGGACTTGAAGAATTAGAGATATAAGACGAAGAAATAGAAGTTGTAACAGATGAGTCGGAGCCTCGGCAACTATGGTTGCCTTCAACAGTGACCGCTTCTGTAGATACCATGGAATTTGATTTAGAATTGATAACGTAGTATATAATATTTTGGATTTGAGTATTATTAAGGTTTGAAATTGCATTTGCGCTGTATGTAACTTGCTTAATTTTTTCAATACTTACTGCATTAAATAACTTGTAAACTTTTCTCGCTCTGTGGATTTTTTGATGCAAATTTATATCAGAGATCTCTGGAAGAAGTTGCTTCACCTCTCGGAAAACTTGATTTTTTGCAGTATTAATCTTAACTTTGCCACCGGCGAAAACTTCCTCAATTCTTTTATCATACCTTTCTGCAATATAAAATTTCATCATGTCCAGATTTAATGGCTTTTCGAAATACGCGAACTATGCTTTCTACCGTACTTTGACTTTGAGAGGATAAATCTGTAACAATTACTATATCTTCCCTAGCTAATGCAACAGACAATTGTTCCATCAATTCCTGCTCTACCATCTGATCATCATGGGGGATGGTGGGTGAGTTAGAGACTTGGTGTGAGCTAGCACATGAGTTCCGATGTTTAGCTTCATTGTTATCTGAAGTTTGAGATATATTAGAATTCTTACCACTTTCAAAATTTTTAATTTTTGTTGATCATTTTCACATGATTCAGCTATCGCTGAAGAAATATTGTGATTAACTAAAGATAAGTCTGAATTTTGATCCCGAAGTTTCTTTTCTTTAATACTCTGAATTATTTCTTTATTAACCCTTTCCTTGTATAGTGAATTGTGAAAGTCATCCACCTCCTTGTCCTCTGGTGATTTAGTCTCTGTGCGAATGGAGTATTTTGGCCGTGCCAACTCTGCTGATGTAATCAAGGCCTCTGGCTGTGTCAAAGACTCCTGATATACATCAGAATTTGAAGCATTATCAAATACATCAGATGATGGAGCATCAGGAGTATTGTTGGAATTTACTGGAGATTGCGAAACATCTTTTGTAGAAATACCTTTTTCTCCCTGTTCTAATATAGCGAGTCTGGTCTCAAGCTCTATATTCTTTTGCTCTAGTTCCTTGACTCTAAAATTGCGTTTTACATTCTCCTCAATAATCTGCTTCAGCTCCACATTTTCAGCTTTAATCTTGGCGTTCTCCTTTCTAAGCTCGGAAATTGTGGCAATGAGTTGAGAATTTAATTCTTGCAACGAATCGATTTTTGATTGAATTTCTGACATTGTTTATACAAGATGCAGATATGTTCAAAAGTTTATTAAAAACCACATGACTCTGATCGTGACGGTTTTTGCCAAATCCTCGAACTATGATTTATTCTTTCGTGCCGGCATGAGAGACAAAGTCTCATTGTTCCACAATAGTGCCGAATATACAGATAACTAAAAAATATCGCGTCGATTTATCCGTAAGATATATCCAGCTGTGTAACACGAACCGGCAAAAAATAAAACGGTCTAAGAATCAAATTTGGGATTATGTAGGCATGGAAATCTAGTCAATTGATATTATCTGCTTTTCCTATAAAAAGCAAAAATTACGAGAATTATTAATCAAGATCAACCTCCTATACTTAATGAAAATCGAGAAGGCAAAAATAACGTTGCACGAAAATTATTTTTAACGCAATTCTTTATTATATTAAATTGGACACGCTATAAACTGCTCCCCAGCACGACTGAATAACCCACCACATTATTACGACAGCTGTTCTCCCCCTCGTCTTCCTCGTCTTATAAAAGCGATTCACGAATTTTGGTTAACGCTGTCAAAACTGAACGCCTTCCTTCTGGTTCAGCGAGATCGAAACCAGTCGTCAAACCATTCTCAGCTGGCCATCTTTGAACCTTAACTGACTCTTCTTTCGG